CGATATGGACATCCTATCATAATACTTAATTTGATAAAGGTACATACTCGCAACTTGATTTTGCGATCCCCAAATATCTTCATTTGCTGATTAGTTGGGTATTTGAGGCTTTAACCCTAACTAGTGCATTGCATAGGAATTGATTATATGTCCAGAAATACAATATTCCTTTTTGTGTCTCATATATTTATTGATTCTTCATGCCTCTCCAGTAGAAATTACACTATATTACAGTTCTATGCATTGGGGAGTCAAAACTGAACTGAACAATCTGTATCTCTTTTATATTCTGCATGGACATGTTAGTTAGTAGTGTAGCTGTGTTACTAGTTGCTACTCTTCGTTGACTTGTTTGTACTGATAACCAACATGTTAATTTTTGTCTTCCATGTGTTACTCATCAAGATTTTCAATTCTCTATGTAGACTGTTGAAAAAAGGCCACGTGAAATGATGCTCAGGCGTGAATATTGTAGAGCTGTTGAATATCTTAATCAAAATGTCCCAGAGGAGAAGAAGTTGAGATTCATCCACTGGGATTTTCATAAATTTGCTAAAAGGTTTTCAAGTGCTTCTTGGCTACCTTCAAACTTATGCAAGCTAGTGCTTGTTCACGTGCTGATGTTTCACACTTTACTTTTTCAGCAAATCTGCAAATGTACTAGGTGTTTTAGGAAAAGTTGCAGGTGAAGCACTGGACCTTACTGGGTTTTACTACAGTGGAAAGCCAAAAGTCCAGAAAAAAAGGTCAATTCAGCTTAGTCGAACTAGCACTGCAAGGTAAATATGCAATCTGTTAGAAAGAATGTATAGCTTACAACAAATAGGACCATTGTATCCTGCAGATTTTTTATCCGAGAATTGAGATATCAAATATAAGAAGTGAGCAGTTTCATATGGCTAATCATCTGTCAATACCACACTAGCAACTAGGGATACTACCAATACTAACTGTTGGCAATGTTTTCTTTCTGCGCAGGGATGGCTCCCTTGATATAAGGGCTAGTTCTGGAGATCTTTCAAGGCTCTCTAGTAATGCTGAAGCACTTAGTTCTACAGGCTTTCAGGATATGAGAAATGAGGCTAACAAACAAGAGTTTCTTGGTGATACTCCCTGTTACCAAACTGGAGTTCTTCGTACAAATTGCATTGATTGCCTGGATCGCACAAATGTTGCACAGTATGCTTATGGCCTTGCTGCTTTGGGGAGGCAACTTCATGCAATGGGACTGACAGATGTTTCAAAAATCCACCCTGATAGCAGCATTGCTTCCGCTTTGATGGAAATGTACCAGAGCATGGGTGATGCACTTGCCCATCAGTATGGAGGATCTGCGGCACATAACACGGTCAGTAAATATTCTTTAGCACATATTAATGAAGAATAATTGCCAGTCATTTGTAATGCCCATAGCCCAACTTGCTTGGGACTGAAAGGCTATGTTGTTGTTGTATTTGTAATGCCCATAGGATCCAGATTCCAGAAGTCCTTGTTCTTTTCTTTTTTGGGGGTTTAGAACTTTAGATAAAGGTGGTGAGCAGAGCTATCTGCTATTGCCTCTTTGGCCCTTCCCTGGTTTCAGACATTCAGTACTGTCCAATGAACACAATTTCAGGTTTTCCCTGAGAGGCAAGGGAAGTGGAAGGCTACTACTCAGTCTCGGGAGTTCCTGAAATCAATTAAACGGTATTACAGTAATGCCTACACTGATGGTGAGAAGCAGGATGCTATAAATCTGTAAGTCTATCGTTTTGCTTTATCATCATAGATGTATTAAACATATAAGGTGGTGAACCAGCTCTTGAGTTGTTTACTGCCATGGTACTATCAGATTTCTTGGGTATTTTCAACCACAAGAAGGAAAACCAGCTCTTTGGGAGCTGGATACCGATTACTATCTTCATGTGACAACAGCTGGGGATGATCTTATGTCTGATAGCTACCACATGAGGCAAGTTTAGTGGTTATTTGGTTCACTGTTATGATACAATGATTTCAGTCCCTTGACAAGATGATAACTCACAGTTCTGCACCTGGAAATAATGTGTTTGTGGGATTTGGAGCTGCATTGAACCCTGGAACCACATTGAGCCCTGTTCCAGCATGTAAAGAGGATTTCTCAAGGATGAAACTTACTTCATTTGACAAACTTATAGAAACAACATGTAGTTCAATAAGGAATGTAAGACTTCATTGTGATGCTGATCTAAAGCTAAGTGGAGGTGTTGGAACTTCTGGAATGGCGCCAGATGCAGCGTATGCAGTTTCCCCCCTTGTAACATATGGTTCTTGCTTGAATTTATTTTTTTGTGATGTCCTTACAGCATGCATTCATGATTCAGTGAGATACAGCTTAAAAGCCCAAACTGGTTGTTTGGTCAAAGAAAACATACAGAGACAATGCCAACTGCAAGAGTTGCCCTGGCTGAAAACGTGAACGAGGGGAACAAAGATGAGTCAAATGTCTCACTTTGTGGGGAACTGAATTGGCTATCCTCCTCAGTTGAATCATGTGAGGAGGACATTTTCAGAAGGTGACTCCATAAAATTGCTGTAGCTCTTTACAAATGACTCCTTTGTGAGAGCGTGTGATTGATACCCATCATTTTCACATTCCATTGTAGATAATTTTGGAAATTTTTGTTGCCTTTGCATTATGCAGGTATCTTGCATTCACAACAGCGGATGTAGAGAATGGCTGGTACGGTGGAACACTTATATATGACCGAGATGAAAACAGCGGGGCTTACAAGCACTATTCTGAACTCTGCCAGGTGAGTGTCTCAATGGTTTGGAAAAAAACAAACAATCAATCTCATCAGCTTGCTTCTGAAAGTACGAGTTTGCATATATTTATGTTTGTGATACTGTAGGGAGCTGTCATGGATCCTTTCGAGCATGACCCTGAGAAAGAGTGGCATTATGCGGAGGCCCTTAGTGTGGATCTCGATGTTTCGAATGATGCACGGGTAGAGGCCGAAATGCAAGCCGCGCTGGATGACTACCAGATCATAGGGTCGGACCTGAGCATTATCCCTTCATGCGGAGCACTCGCAGAGGATCCGAGCCAGCTGACGAGGTGGATCATTGGAGATGAGAAGCTGCTTGTGGGTGCTGCACAGTAGACCGGTGGGGTTTCTGTGGAAGGTTGTACAGCAACAGATTGCCATTCACCGATTCAGCTTTTGTGTTTTAGAGCTATTTCCCTGAAACAATTACCCACTGTATTTAGCCATTTTTTTATTCCTGGTAGCACATTCGAATAATCATGATGATTGAAAGATGGTAATGTGTTTGCATGCGGTGCAAATTATTTTTGTTAGTTCATGTGCATGCCCATATATCGATTAAGGATGGAGTGTATGAAAAAAAGTGAAATACTCCATCCACTCCAAATTATAAATTGTTGCAGGGTGGCCTTGCTGCAGGGATTGACATTGGCAATTATAAATAGTAAGAAAAAAGTGAAATACTTTGTCCATTCTAAATTATAAGACATTTTTTGCTTTTCTAGATATATTGCTTTTATTTATTATGTGTCTAGACATAGTGCATATCTAAGTAGAAAAATAACGTATCTAGAAAAGCTAAAATGTCATATAATTTAGAAAAGTCAAAACGTCAGGTGGCACAATTGGAAGATATGCCAAGGTAGTTCACTGGTTTATATATAAAAATGAAACCAACCGGCAATCTATGAAAGCACGCAGCAGCATCAATTCATTTGGGAGTTGCATGCTACAATATCCATCACAGTATCAATTCATTTGGTGGATGAGTGCTCAGTAAAATCATACCTCTTGTGCCTCTCGCTCACCTCTTTCGCGTGAGCCTTCAGTTATTCAACCTCGTTGGTGATCTCATGGATCGCCATCAGCTTCTTGAACTTGAGGAACAATCCCTTGAAGTTCAATCTCGGATTGCTCGAGGATCGATTACAAAGATGCCAGGGAAAAATGCCCTAGCCGATTCTTTAAATCGTTTTCGACAGACTCTCCACGGTAAAACCTGGAAATGCATCCCGGAAAGGAGCCTGTTGGGGAGGCGCACCTAGGATGGTTTTAAGATTGGTAGGCCACCTAGAACGCTCACAAACATCGTTAAGATGCCTTTTTTTTATGAAAATCATAAAGATGCTTACGGAACAACAGATACAAGGGTAGGAAGAACTCAGCGGGTTGAAAAAAAAAGATTAAAAAATAGATGTATTGTATAAAAGGTCATTGGATGCCCTCAATGCCAACGGGTTCCCATAAGTCAAAATATAATTTGTGAACGCAATGCCGAATCTGTCACTCCCACGGATGACTATCCTTTCATTGGTGCCTCCAACAATGCGTAGTTTGAGAAAATGCAAAGTTGGTAAAGCTCCAAGGATCTTAACATCCGGCAGACTTATACAAAGGATTGACAGTTCTAGCACCGCGAGATATCCAAGTCAATTTGGCACACATCGTTTGAGGTGGAGCCTTTGGTGGCTAGAAGAACCAGTAGGGTGATATGAATCCAGAAGCAGAGGGTAAGATCCATCAGAATTTCGCATGCCTCACAAGGGAAAACTCATGGTAGTTTTCAGGCCAAATGGGTAAGTTCAAAATCCCAAAAGAAAAGGCCAAAAAAGAAAGCCAGACTTTTTCTAGTGCCAAGCAAGTAATTTTGTCATATATGTATGTGGGGCGTATGAAAAATTATGTAAAATGTCCACAACCGGACCCACAAATAGGCAATGACAATATTATTGCTTATTGTCCAAAGTTCCAAATGGTCGGCTGACCGGTTTCCACGCTACAAGGCACAAGAGAACATACACAAGAACAACTAGAGATTCGCATTACAAATTTACAAATGAGAAAGGCTAGAGTCAGTTGACGGCGCGAGCCTGTCAAATTGCAACCCTCCTAAAGTTTCGAGGTTTCTCAGTCTAAAAGGCAATAATCAGAGAACTATCTGGGCAAGGTTTCTCCAAGCCTCCCAAATTATGCACTGTCGCCACACCTTTCCTACAGACCCAGCATCTCCCTGCTTGCTCCTGCCTCCCTCTCTGCTGCGGTAGCCACTGATCCAGATGGTGTTGGTGATTTCATGGACAGCGGCGCCACTATCTGCGTGGGCGCTATTGCAGCTTGCCCCGCCACTGTCACACCCTTGGCTAATATGTCACGGTTAGTAACAGGGGTAGCTATGAGAAGAACGCCCATGTGTTGCGTGCTGTTACCAGCAATAGCTGCTGTTGTGACATTCTCTTGGGAGGTCTCAGACGGCTTTGCTGCCTTTTTGGGCTTCTTGGCCCGGCGTCGTTTTTCTGAAGGGGCAGGCAAAGCTTCAGGGATAGCATTGTCACCACCCAACAAACTCTTCCTGTGGACAGAGCAGAAATCCGTTCCCCATTTTGCGCTTGTACCACATCCTTGGAACTTGCACCGACTGCCCCCACCATGCTTAATGCAGAAATCTGTGCGTCCTTGAGCACTCTTTGTACATCCTTCAAATTTGCACCGCCTTCCCCCACCATGTCTTATGCAGTAATCGGTGTTCCCTTGTGCGCCCTTTGCACACCCTTCAAATTTACATCTCATACCACCACCATGCCTCACACAGCGGTCACTACGGCCTTGACCACATGCTGCATTTGGGCATTGGGGGATCACACACCGTTTCCCACCTCCATGCCCAATGCACAAAGGTGTGCCTCCATGTGCACCTCTCGTACAGCCCCGTACCATGCAGCCCTTGCTAACACCGCTATGCAACTTACAGTAGATTGAGTTCTCATGTGCTTGCTTGCTGCAGTTTTCGTTCTTGCAAAGCAAGCCTGCCCCAGAGAAGACATATTGTGCAGTCTGACCCGAAGTGTACCCAGAACTATCCTTTAGTTTACCTCGATCATCCCCTTCATGCTTGACAAGTAACTCTTGCTCAGTGCATGGCACTGCAATGGAAATAGATCCCTTAAACTGGCTGTCATTAACAGGGGGCACCGATAAACCTGAGCTCTGCATTCCGCTGTGGAGGTGACTGAACTGTTGGCATGACAACTCCCCGCTGTGAGTTTTGCAGTACACTACCCTTCCATCGACAACCTCATTGCACCCAGGTTGCTGGCACCGATTCCTGTCTGTTTTACAGGAAATCAATACATTAGAAATGTATAAAACACAATACAATTGATATAAACACAAAACAAATTAGCAAACAAAGAAAAGCTGATAGCAAAACACCACAAACTAAAACTCTAAAAGTAATTGGTCACACCAACATATCATATATTAGCTCCAGAATTCATGATAAAAGATATATATCAACCAACACTAGCACATGAAATGTGTAAGAAAAATAGCTTCATGACTAGTTTGTGGATTGCACCAACTCAGTGGAACATAAAGTAACAAAATGTCTTTTTGAAATTCCAAAATAAAGGTGTGTCCTTGCAAAATCACAAGCTACGGAGACATTGAGGCATGGAGCAGACATACCACCAAAAGAACCTTCTGCCATATGCATCTGAATTCAAAGAAAAGAACACAGAAAAAATTAGGATGTTGTGATTGATCATATACCTAAACATGGTTCCTTAAAGGACAGACTAAGATACCTTTATACGAGACATATGGTCATGCCCCATTACTGTTGTGTGTTTTTCTACAGAAGTTCCAAGCATAAATCTGTCAGATAATGAAACAGAGATACAATATCAGCAACAGCAGATATATGACTGATTATGGAAAATACCAGGATCCAAATAAGGCTCCCAAACATACACCTGAATGTAGTGTAAATGGATATGTTAAAACAAACAAGAGGACAGTTTGATGATCAAGTAATTTGTGAAATAGCACAATTTGAGTGCTTGAGAATTGGGTTAAATTGGCCATGTTTAATCACTACGATTGGTTGCTATAAGTACAAACATATGGAGAAGGAAAACTGTATTATTTGCAGACCACAAATTTCAGTTTTATTGTTGTACATATGAAAACTTTATCACATATCACCACTACCTAACCTCTTTGTTCTTGGTTATATTGCGAACAATTAGAGGTTCATTACTACACTCCAATCGGTTCTGATCATTACCAAAAGTTGGTGTCTGTATTGTTAGCTCCAAACCATTCTTCAACATATACTACATGAGAAATTAACAGTAGTTTCAGGTTTTCAGCAGCAAATAGGTACAATAGAATAAACAAACCATATTGTAATAAACTATTTGGTTATTGAATATAGAAAAATAAGTTCACACTTTTAAAAACTTCTTCCATAAACTTAGTTAATACAACAAGTGAAACAGGACATAAAAATCGAAGAAAGAAAACAGGTAAAATACAAAGGCAAGAGGTCATAAGCAACAATATCCCACGGTTTCCCTTTACTATCAATATTTAGAATAACTGTAGCGATCACCCATTTTTTTTTTTGAGCAAAAAATACAGCAGGGGAGGCCCCCACTGTGAGATTTTATTAAAAGGCAAAAGCCAGAAACTGAACAGAGGAGAAAGAACACCAAAAACAAAAACCACCCAAGAGGCTGAGGGAGCCACTGGTCAGCTAAGAACTAAGAAAAGGAGCCTATACAAAGGAGGAAAACATAGCGCTTGTCTTCAGACATTCTAAGAGCTTGAAGTCTAGCCTCATCCAAAAGGAGCATTTCCAGGAGGAGAAAGAGGGTCGTCCTCTGTCAAATATAAAGTTATTTCGCTGCTTCCATATGTGCCAGGCAGCAATGATGAAGATCTCCATAAAGAAGGGATTTTGATATTGCTGTTTCAACTGCATCATCATTTGGAAGAAATCACTTTGAAAGTTCCAGTGCATATTCAAGTGTTGCCAGCAGGCCTGACTGAATGGACAGCTGAAGAAGAGGTGGAAAGCAGTTTCCTCAACATTCTGATTGCAGAGAATGAAGATCACCCAAATATTATGAGTATGTTACGGCGTGTACGATGAGGAGATCGCAGGGGAGAGTGGAGTAGGATAGATTGGGAATTGGAACGCAGGGGGTAGCGAAGAAGTGGTGCGGCGGGAGGTTCGCCGGCGGCAGCGGCAGAAACGCTCGCAGCCACCGTCGAAGGGGAAACCCGCCCACCTTGGGAGGTTTATTCCTTCTTCGATAATTCCTGATTACATTACTAAGTGTCCTTTATAGACTAGGATCACTTCCTAACAAACACAAATCAATCTCCTAAAAATCCTCCCCTTCCTCTACTTTCTAAACCGCCCAGCCCCCCTCCTAGCCACGGCTGGGCCTGGGCCGGCGCCTATATTGGCCCCCTACGAAGGCGTACAGAACAGAGTAGCGTGTCAATGAAGAACAGAAAGTATTGAATAATGCAAAAAATGCTCCTCAAATGTGGAAAAGTAAACTAAGTGAAATTTATTAGCTAACAACGATAAACCTGACAGCATCTACAGTGCACACTCAGTAAGTGTAATTGGTTACTTTAGCCAAATTATAAAATTCAGCCTGATAAAATAGTAGGACAGAATAGAGGAAAACGTAAAAAAGCTAATGCATATGTATGACCTAATGGTGTAATGGCTCAAAGATATAAACTAATGGAGAAGTTCCAATGTGTAGCTCCTAATCAAACAATGAACCTTCTCACAGATTTGATCAAAGGACAAAGGGTCAGGCAACCAGCAAAACCACAAGCAATATGTTACGAGTAGTGACTAGGTGCTCCCCCCTTGCCCTTGGACAAAAGGAACATACATGGCAGAAAAAAATCAATGCACAACGTCGAAGCCAAAATACAGCCACTCGAATCACTGAAGTAAAAAAGCACTTATATTTATATGGCAACTAATATGAAGGAAAGGAACTGCAAAGTATCTGACTGATATTTTTTTATATGTCAAAGCATGGCTAGTCGTGCGTGGTGCTTAATCAAGAAAAGAGTGTCAGGTTCTTCATGATTTTCTGGCTGAACTGTCTGTAGAATATGCAATGCAATAAACAGGTAACTCTGCATTATAAGCTCATATATGTAGTTCAGAGTGAGATGTCAAGGTTCCGTCCGTTTTCCAATAACCTGTATTAACATTTTGAAAACTAATGATCAACCTCGAACACATGAATTCATTCATTCATTACTTAATATATATGTTACAGAAGTGGTGTGGGGGGGGGGGGGGGGGGGAGGGACCCAAAGAAAGTATCGCAAAGAAAATTCAATTTAATCCGTTCATAGTATCTTAGGAATTCATTGTTCATATTTGTATGTGCTTACGATTGCAAGATTAAGTAATGCGCGTATGGTGGTGCTTTAGTGCCAACCAAGAATAATAAATGTATGGCACAATAGTTCGAGCATGTCAGGTTCAGTGCCAACAGGCACACCTACTCCTCTTGCCATGAACAAAGAACCGAGTAGCTTTTAAGTGTGCAAATTACAGAGGGCAGTAAGGAGAAAAAAAAAGCATAAGCATCACAACAGTGAAACTAACAGTGACCATTTCCCCACTTAAATCAAATGTGGTAACAATAACGCACATACATACGCATACACAAACCTTGGTACGCACAGGCCGTAGCAAACAATTCGGCGAGCAACGGTCAAGGCACGCACTGCATTGGCTAGATGCAAAATAAAAATAGCACAGCCGGTCAGTCACTTTACTGCCTCCTTGCCGAGATCATTACCGAGGCTGTATGGCTAGAACAACAAGGCTCTGAAAACATACGGCGAGCACTAGCTACGCGGAGCACCCACCCACCCAGGAGCGACGATCGGCGCGGCAAATCGCGCGATCAGGGTCTGACTGATCCGCCGAATCAAGGGCGCGCAGCGGACACAGTAAATACACTCGGTAATTTTTGCACACACACAAAGCAAAGTTATCAGTAGGCATATATACATACACGGAGTATACAGACAGGTTTCTGGTTAGATCAGATCCAGCTAGGGTTTAGGTGGCCGGTTACGCTGACGCACGGCAGGGAGTGAAGGAGGGGAGACGGCGTGGGGTGGGGCTGGCACACGTACCTGTACCGGGTGGGGCGGTCGTCGCCGGCGAAGACCACGGCGGCGGCGGTCGCCCGGCCGTCGCCACGAGGGAGAGGGCCGCCGATGGGACGGAGGAGGAAATGCAGCAAGCGAAGGGAATGCGGGAGCAATTTGGCACTAGTATAGTATAGGAGGAGTATTTTTTTAGTAGAAAGAGGAGAGGGGAGGGGAAGGGAGAGTGGGCAGCTTCGGCTTTGAGAAGTGCAAGTTGCAGCAGGCATCAACCTAAACAATTTGTCTGGCGTCTCTCCTCGTCACCATCGCAATTCGCAAACGCAAAAGGGGAAGGAAGAAGACACTGACCCTGATTTGCCTGATTTGCTTTGCATCCCGTTCAGTTCACTGGATCTGGATGGGCCTTTTTCTTTTCTTTTCTTTTCTTTCCTTTCTTTGATGAGGTTGACGAACCAGTCTCGTCTGTAACTTGGATTGGGACGGAATGTTGCAGTGCTCGATAATTTTGGCCGCCCATGTAGTACACCACCTAGTTCCCCACGAAAAAAAGGTCATTTTCGCCTTGCATGCCTGAGTCCTGGCTATCAATAGCATGATTTTAAGAAAAATATGAATCAGTTACAAAGTCTAATTGACCTCCATGAACTATCCCAGTCCGATTTATCTCTCTTGTGGCTGACGTGGCGCCGCGTAGGACGGCTGATGTGCCGCCACATTAGCCAAAATTGCTTTGAAAACAGAAGTTAAACGGTTTTTGCATGTTGGATGGTTTCGGTGGCGGTTTCAGGCTACGTGATGCCACGCTAGTCACACGTGGTAAATCTAATTGTTCGATAGTTTATGGAACAATTGAACTACTTTATAGGAAAGGAAACCTTCCTAAATTTTGGTGTCTTCTTGAAGAGAGGAATCAAACTGCACAAGGTAGAGTGTCCAAGGGCACGTTTGGTTCTCTCGCTCGAAACCATTTAACCTTATCCAGCAAGGGTGTCGAATGAGGCTAGGCATTTGGTTCTTTGCCATGGTTACCTTGGAGCCTGTGCAAGCTAGTTTTGGCTTGCTCGTGAGAGAGAGCGAAATCAGCTCGCCGGTCTAGGCGAGGTTCTCGGTTTCCGTGTAAGCAGGCAAGGTAAGGTACAGCAAAATAACCAAACGTCCCCCAAATGTCCACAACTTCTGCACTTGGAACAAGTATACCTTAGTAGATCGAAGCAAGATACATATATTATTTTGTATCTTACTCTCCATCCTGAAAATAATGCAATTCTCGCTCGTTTTTTGAGTAGTCAAACAATTTTAAATTTGATCAAATTAATATTATTCTATCAATTATGTAATATTTTTTCATATTAAAATCTATTTGGAGGTATAGATGTTGAAGCTTAAGAGAAAAAAAGTTGACTTGGTTTGTACGTATAATTGTATTTTTTAGGGAGTATTGTATTTTGCAGCGCACCTACTGTTGGAGGTGGCTTCTGATGTAGCCGTGCCTTGAGTCTTGATGTCGACATTCTGCTCGCGTTTGAACTTATCATTTATAATCTACATATTTTTTTCTCTATAATGATGATTTTTTTCTCTTATAAATTAAAAGCCAAACGGTTGGTAATTGTTTGCATTAGCACCGGAACCGAGTCCAAGGCATGTGAAGATAATCTGTTTG